CGAGCATCATGCTCATCCAGTCCCCTCGCCAGGCATTCCCCCGTGGAGTGCTGACCCTGCGGCCTCCAGTGAACCCGGGCAGAGGGCCCCCGCAGGGTCTTCCCGGGTTCTGGGCAGCCCCTCGCCACCTGCTTTTGTCGGGTGGCAAACCCCGCAGAGGAGACACCTTGGGTGTTGGTGACGTGTATGTACTCCGTCCCCCAGCAGCTGATAGGGGTTTTCAAGGGCAGTCTTGACTAGTCGCAGTTTTTGTTTTCCTGCTGATTTTAGAATAGAACTCAGTAAGTTGGAATCCACTGGACTCTTTTTGCCAGTAGTGGGGATCAGATTTCTGAGAATCGGAAATCTAGAGTCTGTATATAGTTAAAAAAAAAAAAACCCACCCCAGGTTGCATAGAAAATACAGAATTAGGGGGAAAAAACAAGGCATTACATATTTTTTACAGCAGTATGTCCCAGGGCATTGTCTTAATTCCAAGACTATTGTCGTTTTGAAAAAAACGTTGATAAAGGGCTCTCTCCAGACTTGTGCCTTTGTCTTCACCTGTGTCCGGGACACACTTGGTGTTACTGTGGCTCTCGGCTCAAAGGCCCACTGACTTCAGCCAAGTCCCATAGGACTGTGGGAGGAGGAGGGAGTTCTCGGGACGATCAGCACATGGAGGGTGTGGGCTGGGGAAAGTGATCTTGTCTCGGTCGCTACTAATTGGCTCACCTGCCCCAGGTCTGCATCTGGGAGGCGCAGGTGACCTTGGATATAACTGTAGAGGTGGAAAGTGAAGTTCTGAAGGCAAGTACGATGCCTGTAATTATATACCTGGTAATGTCAATAAATCTTAGTTCCATTCGTATACAGCCAAGGACTATATATATAAGCCAAGGTCATTCAGTATAAACCAAGGTCATTCATTCTGGCAGGAGTGTCCACCCTTTTGGCATCTCTGGGCCACACATTAAATACATTGCAACACACAGTAATAAAAAAAATCTCAGTATTTTAAGTAAAATTCACAGTTTTGTGTTGGGCTGCATTCACAACCATCCTGGGCTGCGTGTGGCCCATGGGTTGCAGGTGGGGCACCCCTGGCTGGGGTTTCCGTGCTCCTTTGCAAGAGAGTGGGTATTTCTCCCCATTTGGGTGGCCCGTAACCTGCAACCAGGCGTGAGGATTGTGTTGGTGGGATGCTATCTCCACCCCTGGATTAAGTGGGACCTGGGCATACTTGGCAGGAAAGGAAGTCAGACTAACAGGAAGTGGAAGGGTGGGATCAGAGAACAGGAAGTGGGAGCCAGGAAAAGGAAGTGATGCTAGCCCTGCATCTGCTGTCTCACGGGGAGGTGGTACTTAGAGTTGCAATTTCATCTTCAGTCTCATTTGAAGTTGGAATGAGGACCATTCGTCCCAGAAGCTACAGGGACCTAAGACCCAAGCCTGGGTGTACTGGGGGGTCAAGGGGGGACGCTATTTGAGTTCAAGCAATACCTGCCCCTTTGGGAATCAGTGAAAGCACTGCAGTTTCCACAGCTCCCGGGAGACCTGGAGAATCTGGCTGTTTAACCCTAACAGGACCAAGGTTTCTTCTGCCCCATCACAGTTCCCTGAAGGCAGAATCCTGGCCGGTCTCAGTCACAGGATGGTGCCCAGAACTCTTCAGAGACTCCCAACAGTGAGTGAAGAGTTGAACAGCGGCTCAGGAGGCCCACCAGGGTCCAGGAAGTCCCAGTGTCCCATTGCCTCCACTCATCCAGTTAGTATCTCCAGCCCTCGCATACCACACCCAGACCCTGAGAGTCGGGGGGGCGGGGGCGGGGGGAACATTCATCCATCCAAGAGAGTGGAATGGACAGAGGAGGCCCCGAAGGGTTCCCCACCAGACTCTGGTCTGGGTACCATGACTGGATGACTGGACCCAAGGACAGGAGAGCAGGGTGGGGCTGGGGCGCCAGAGCCTGCAGAGTTAGCTGGATGGAGCACCTGCAAGCTGCCTGCACCGGGGTCCTCCTGTGGACCAAGGACAAAAGGCAGATGAGCCGATCCCCAAAACTGATGGAGGAGCGGACAGGACCTGGATGATCCGGGAAGGAAGAAACGGCTGAGCAAGCACGGGACAGGACCCAGGCTTCCCCGCTCCCGCCGCCCCAACTGTCCCCTCTCACGTCATCCCACACACAGTGTTTAGACAGAGCAGTGGAGAAGAAACACAGACATCCTGGATTCCTCGGGGAGGAGGCCAGGGCTGGGAACAGAAGGAGATCTGTTTATTCCTGGCAGTCCAGTGTCGAGGGGCCCCACACCCACTTCTGTCCAGACTCCAGGATGAACTCTCCCAGAGCCTCTGACTTCTGCCCGACTGTGGGGCTGAGGAGCATCTGGAACCCAGCGTCCTCCACCCATCAGCTCCCTTGAGGGGAGGTCTGAGGCCGAATGCTGTCCTCTTGCCACGTTTTGGCCCAACAGAAGTCCTGCCTCTCCAGCACCCCTGGCTGCTGCACCTCCAGCCCTCCAACCCTGGCCTCGCCCAGAGGCCCCGAAGTCCCCATGCTCTGTCCACTTGTATTCTTGAGTGCAGTTTTCCCTAACGTCTCACCTCCAGCTTTCTCTCTGCAGCTTCAGTCTAGTTCCTCCCATTTCAAGTCAAGGGAGTATAACTGGCCTCTCCCTCACCTTAAAGCCCAACTTGATACAATGTAAAAATGGGAGCATACCTCTTGGCGTCCCAGCCCTGAACTTGCCCTTCTTCTCGCTGTACAGTCAGGTACTGCATAGGGACGTTCTGGTGAGTGAAGGACTGCGTGTAGAGCGGCGGTCGGTCCCATACGATTATGGAGATGTCAAATTCCTACCACCCAGTGTTGTAGCAGAACGCATTGCACAGATACTTAGCATTGTGTTACAGTTGCCTACATCTCCAGAACAGTAACATGCTGTACTGGTAGCCTAGGAGCCGTGAGGGAACACGATTTGCCACCCCAAATATGTCTCATTAGCATAAGGATTATTTTTTTTTAGGCTGGTGGATTTTAAGCAACCCTCAGACTTGGAAAACCAAGTAGAAAGGGAAATCATTTGCAAGGGTGTCTCCCTCCGTGTAGCAGGAAGAGGGGGATGACCATATCTCCAGAAAGTCTTATCAGTGTAGATGACCACACTCAAATTTGCATAACGACCTTACCCTGGTTTAAGGTGCTTTTCCTCCCACCCCCAACATCTTTTGTCTCAAGCTGCAGACGGCATTAAAGGGGATGGCTTCCCACACCGTGGCGCGTCATTCATTTTCCTGGGTCGCTCCCATGTATACATGTTACCAATTTGTTTTTCTCCTGTTCATCTGTCTCTTATTATAGACATGTCTCAGCCAAGGACCTAGAAGGTTACAGGGAAAATTATTTTTCCTCCCCTGTGGAGCTATAGGCTGCCCTAACCCTAGGTGAGGAGCAGGCTGCACCATCTGAGTTTGCATAAGTGCCTTCCCTGGCGTCCCCACAATGACGACATCGGCCAAGGACGCATTTCTCAGAAAGCACCCCTGTCGTTAAGCAGCACGTGACTGTACGTAGTTTCCTCAGTTTCCCTGTGGAGTAAAAGTGTCATTGGTCTCTTGCTTTTCATAGGCTGCTGGCCTTTCTCAAGGGGACTCTTTCTTGGAGTGGAGGGTTGGCTGGAGGGAAGGGACAAGCAGAGAAGGGCAGAAGTCCTAATAATGTTAATAACAGCTACCTTTCATCGAGTGCTTTTGTGCCGAGCACTGATCGAAGTTTTGATCACATATTACCTCATTTAGTCTCACGACAGGTGAGGACAAGAGCAGCCCCATTTTACAGGTGAGGAAACTAAGGCCAGAGAACTTGGGTTACTTGCCCAACTTCACACAGCTAAAAACAGTAGGATCTCAGCTGGAATTCTGAGATTCACACCAGGCTTTCTGACTGTAGCACTGGCTTATGCCTGTTCATCATCATGGAAGAGGAAGGAGAGGAGGCTTGTGCTGAGACGCCCCTCCCCCTGTTAAGTGTTCAGGCGCTGGGATCTGATCAGTTACATCTGTTATCCCACAGACAGGGCCTCGAACTCATTTTCACCGGGGGCCACGTCAGCCTCGCGGCTGCCTGCAAAGGGCCAAATATAACTTTAGGACTGTATAAATGGAACTACTCCTTAACAGGTAAGCGAAAGCTTGGCACTACCACCAAGTAGAAACCAGGTGCCGAGCCCGATAAAACAAGGTGGAGGGCCAGTTCCGGCTCGTGGGCCTTGTGTTTGCCGCCTGTGTCACAGCAGTTTCCACAACAGCCCTGAGAGAGTGGCCTGCTTTCTTCCCATTTTAAAGGTGGGAAAACTGAGGCCCAGAGGTAGCTAGCTTGCCCAGGGACACATCCCCAGAGCTATTTGTACCTCATAGCCCAGAACTTGACTCACAAAGTAGGGGAGAAAAATGCAGAATGATTCTAGAAGGCAAGACTGGCTTTATAAGCTGAAACGCCCATCAGGCAGTAGGATGGGGGAGGTGAAGATCCTCAGGCCGCAAAGATCCCCCCCTGCTGCCACCGCTGCGCACACACCCCTCTTCTGCAGACAGGCAGAAACAGTAGCTCTCATGTGGGGCCAAGGGAGCTCAGCATGCTGTCAACTTGCTGGCCACTCTGGAATAAGGCTCATAAAATGTAAATGTATTAGCTGGGGCGGAGAGTGGAGAAGGGCAAAAGAAATCACTCTTCATTAACTCGGATGCATTTCTCAGATGAGCTAGGCAATCGCAGGGGAGAGGTCTCCAAACTGGGTGACCTGAGAGAGAGGATCTGCCACCTAAGTGACCATCTATCGCCAGGGTCTGGAAAGGGAAGCTGGTACAGCAGGAGAGGGAGAAAGGCCTCCCAGTGGCTACAGCCAGGGTGTGCCAGGTCCCACCCTCAGAGGCGGGGCCAGGCTGAGACCGGCCGGCCGAAGGCCTCAGCTCCACCCACCCCAGAACCTAGGCAAGGGCAGAGCCTGGGCTGCCAAGAGCCCTGGGTGCTGCTGTCCTGCAAAGCGGAGGCACCATGCTGTCCCAGGCCAGGACATCGGGCATCCCCGGAAGCCCTGTGAGGCTGGCTGCGGAAGCTCCCTGACACTCAGAGGAAAGCCCAGGCTGGGTGAGCAACACCTGTCTTCCACTGCCATGTGAGTAGCTGTGCCCCTCTCCCCTCCTTGGCTACACCTGGAAACCTCAGCCCCAGACCCTGAAGGGACCGTTGCACCCAGGCCGAGCCACCAGAGCCACTGGGTGTGCCGTGTGCAGGTCACACTACCCTCGCACCACTGGGAAGTCACCGTGGGGGCTGGCTGACCCTGCCTTTCTTGCGGCTCCGGTGGAGGTGGAATAGGGAACTCACTCCAGGGAGGGCTGGAGCTCCAGCCCAGGATCCAGAGGCCAGGTCTGAAGTGAGGAACCCTGAGGTCTTGCAGGGTTTCATAGAGTTGACCACGCAGGGACCAAGGGGAACAGAACTGGAGGGGTGCTCCAGTCCTGAGAAGGAACGCTGTCCTGAGGTGGGGCAGGGCGCTGGGGAAGGTTTAGGGAGAGAAAACGAGAAGGGGAACGGGGGCAGCAGCTTGGAAGCCCCACTCGAGGGTCTTGGGAGGAATTGACTAGAAGGGGCAGCTTCTCCTGAGCTCAGGGTGGCTGTGGGCCCCCATGATCCTCCTGGGGGGCAGGGGGGTGGCGGTAGTAGGACTCCTTTCCTTTCCTTATCGGCTTTGGTCCTGGCAGTAGCAGCTGCTCCCCCCGCTGACAGAAGCAGGGGGTCCAGCAGGGCTCAGGACCCTCCCCATTGCCTGCTGTAGCAGTGGGACCAAGGGGCTGGACAACGGAGAACCCAGAGCCAAGTGAAGGGAAAGACAGGGACAGACCAGAGCCCCGAAGGGGCCAGGCCCTGTCCAGCAGCTCCTCTGCCCTCCCCTCCGGGGTTAGCTTCAGCCCTGAGTGTGTGTGTGAGCGCGTGGGGGGTGGGGGGCGGGGGAGGGGATCCACCTTGAGGCTGGCATCTCTGCATTCACTGCCTGTCCTCCCCTGCCCCACCCCGCCCCCAGCAACTCCTCTCCCTCCTCCAGTGCCCAGGAAGGGACCCGTTGCTAGTGCCGTGCGGATGAGTCAAGTTTATGGGCCGGAGGCTGCTCACTGATCTGTAACCAAACGGCTTCAAGGGCAGATGGGGGGGTGGGGTGCAAGGGGCAGGGCACCCCACTTACTGCTGCCCTTGCCCTGGACTCGTCACTCACTAATGTTCAGTGAGCCCTGTCTCTGCCTCACTCCTGCCCCCCCCACCCCACTCCACCAATCCTTAACGCTCTGGTGCCGACTGGGCCGCGGGCATCTGAAGAGAGGGACCCTCCTCCATCTCGCCACCCACTCCCAGCACCTGGCCCCAGCCCGAAGGAGGCTCTGGACCCTGGATGGCCAGAGGACCACCACACACCGGCCACACCCTATTTCCCCCCTCGGCCAATTCAGAGGCCTTACCAGGCGGAGGCAGGGATGGACAAGATGCTTTGTTGCTGGGTAGGTCCACCTTTTCATCTAAACAGGCATGCCCAGAGGTGCTCAGAGGGGACCCAGCAGGTGACACACATGGGTGAAGGGGACTGCGGGGACCTGTCTGAAGGCAGCCACCGCCACACTCCAGCTGGTTGCTACCATACAGGACATCTGTTGCCACAACTGAGTTCTTAAGAGAAGCCCAAAATAGCAAATTTTATGTAAAATGTAATTGGCCATTCATTGAAAAGAAGGTCTATATGGCAGTCCAGCGGTCAACCACCTCTAGGTCAACGCGCGTCCCCCAGGAGGACAGTGTCCTGCAGCCCCGCCTGACTTGGGCCACCCCGTTTCCCATGCAGGCATGCCGGCAGCTGCTGCAGCACTCCCCCGCCCCCAGGCCCAAGATGACACCCAACAGCACCAGGGAGGTGCCCAGCGCCGCTCCCATGGGGGCCTTTGGACTCTCCCTGGTCCTGGCTAGCCTCATCGTCCTGGCCAACCTGCTCCTGGCCCTGGGCATCGCTGGGGACCGCCGCCTGCGCAGCCGGCCCGCCGGCTGCTTCTTCCTGAGCCTGCTGCTCGCTGGGCTGCTCACGGGGCTGGCGCTGCCCGCACTGCCGGGCCTGTGGAGCCAGGGCCGCCGAGGCTACTGGTCCTGTCTCTTCCTCCACTTGGCTCCCAACTTCTCCTTCCTCTCCCTGCTCGCCAACCTGCTGCTGGTGCACGGGGAGCGCTACGTGGCCGTGCTGCGGCCCCTCCGGGCCCCCGGGAGCACTCGGCTGGCCCTGCTCCTCACCTGGGCCGGCCCCCTGCTCTTCGCCAGCCTGCCCGCTCTGGGGTGGAACCACTGGGCCCCCGGTGCCAACTGCAGCTCCCAAGCCGTCTTCCCAGCCCCCTACCTCTACCTCGAAGTCTACGGGCTGTTGCTGCCTGCCGTGGGTGCCTCGGCCTTTCTCTCCGCCCGCGTGCTGGCCACCGCCCACCGCCAGCTACGGGACATCCGCCGGCTGGAGCGGGCCGTGTGCCGTGGGGCGCCCTCGGCCCTGGCCAGGGCCCTTAGCTGGAGGCAGGCGAGGGCGCAGGCTGGAGCCACCCTGCTCTTCGGGCTCTGCTGGGGGCCCTACGTGGCCACCCTGCTCCTCTCGGTGCTGGCCTATGAGCAGCGCCCGCCGCTGGGGCCCGGAACTCTGCTGTCCCTCATTTCGCTGGGCAGTGCCAGCGCAGCGGCTGTGCCTGTGGCCATGGGACTGGGCGACCAGCGCTACACGGCTCCCTGGAGGGCGGCCGCCCAAAGGTGGCTGCGGGTGCTACGGGGAAGAGCCTCCCGGGGCAGTCCCGGCCCCAGCACTGCCTACTGCACCAGCAGCCAAAGCAGCATGGACCTGGACTTGAACTAGGGGGGGTGGGGCTCTGCTCACTCCTGCTAGCAGCATCCATCCATCTCAGCCACCAAGCCCGTCCCCACTGTCCACACACCTCTGGATCGGAGAGCCTGCTGCTCCTAGTTTCCCACACCCTGGTCAAATAAAACTCCTCTGGCCCAGTTTATTGGTAACTTATTCCATAGCGCAGAAGGGAAGAGACAGGTGGAACAGCGGCGGAAAGAACCTAGAGCCAGGCGGGCATCAAGGGAGATTCCAGCTCCACGCAGGCCAGCAACTGCAGGTGAGGCCGCACCCGCGGCGGAGAGGGTGAGCTGAGGGCCGGAGCTGCGGCCGACTGGCCGCGGGGGGAGGGGGGCCTCACCCTGACTTGCCCCCCATGGCTCTTCCTCAGGTCCGGCCACCACAAAACCAACACAGACATCGTCTCTGGGAAGTACGTTTTATTTACATTTTTAAAATCTGTAACTAATCTCTCTTCCTCCTTTCCACCCCCCGAGACTTGGGAAGGGAAAGAATGGGAACCTCAAAGACCTACTTACTCCCCACATACAAATACACACCCATGACTCACACCCACAAATGAAAAGTAAGGGAAAGAGGTCTGAACCTCCCTCTGAGGGGTCCCCCAGGTCTGGGTGAGGGGGCGAGGGGGCGAGGGACCCGAGGGGTGGGTCTTAGGAGAAGAAAGGGACGGAGGGGCAGTCAGCGCGGAGGGGTTGGAAAGCAGTCCGAGGCCCCTCTGATCCCCTTCCCTCGCACCCTCCCGCCTCTGCTGGTGAGGGGTCTCCCTTCACCTCCTCAGCGCCAGACACAAAGCAGAGGCGGCAGCCACTAGCGGTCAGGTCTCTGGACACAAAATACTTTTGCTTTGTGGTCTCCCGACGTGGTCACCACCAGGGAGGCATCTCTGCGGACAAATGCATGGGTCCGTGGAGGGGGCCTCGGGGCCAGCTCTGAGCCCACTGCCCAGGGGCCCCCGGGGGGCCTCCCCAGCACGTAATTCCAGACCCCTGGTCCCTAGCACTGGCCGCCAGACACCCACACGGAGTGCAGCCCGCACCCGGGAGGGGAGGGCGAGAGGACGCCGCGGGCAGGGGCGGCGTCCTGGCTCCACAGCCCCGGGGCTGACGGGAGACCCGGTCAGTCGCTGCCGCCCAGTGCGACTCCCTCGGGCTTCTCAGCACTCCTGCCTCCCAAGCCGGGACCGACCAGGCCTCGGGGCCCATCTTCCCTCAGGAACGCACCACCCCCCGGTCCCTGTGGCCTGGCGCCTGCTGTTCCCACCTTCCAGACACAGGCACCCTAGCCCTCGCCCAGTCCGCTTACTTGCTGAGGGCAAAGTCCAGGATCTCTGCCGTGTGGCCCCGGTAGTCAGTCAGCAGGCGGCCGGTCCGAGCGTCCCAGAGGCGCACGATGCCATCCAGGCTGCAGGTGTAAACCACAGCGGTGCCCACCTCCCACAGCAGCTGCACGATGCCCGACTGCACCAGGGTGCAACAGAGGAAAGGTGGGGCTCAGGGCAGGACAGGTGAGAGGCCCCCGCTCCCACCTCTCATGGAGGGAGGCAGGGAGGGCACATGGGCCACAGAAGGACCGAGCAGGAGCCAAGTCCAGGGCAGATGCTCCCAGGGCCCTGGGCTTCCCTATGGCCATGACCACGGCTCCAGGCTGCCTTTACCTGGTGCTGACACTGGTGCCTGAGGGTCTGTGTAGACAGGTCATAGATGGCCAAGGTCCCGTCCAGGTAGCCGACAGCCGCCAGAGGCATCCTGGGCAGAAGCAAGCACCACAAAGCTCACGGAGGGACCGGGCCCTCGTGCCCTTCACTCCTTCCTGGACCCCCGCCCCGGCCCCTCCCCACGCTCGTCCCTCTCGTCTTCCGGCTGTCTCCAGGCCAAGGTCCCGGTCCACACTCACACACTGCAGAAGCCCAAGGACTCCACGGAGTTGGACTCACTCTCCTCCCCTTCTCCCAGGTTGGGCTGGGAGGCCACAGTCTCGGGCCTGAAGACACCCACCACCTATGAGCCAGAGGAGAGGATCAGAGAAGGAAGGCGGTGGGGCAGGGAGGTCGAGTGAAGAATAAGAAAGGAAGGGAGGGGGGACGACACGGAAAGCGGAGGGCCCCACTCACCTTGCCAGTGGTGGCACTGACCAACTTGGCCTGACAGTCCACGGAGCCAGTCAGGACCAGGCTGCCATCCTGGTTGGTGGCGACACAGGTCAGAGGGCCCTGATGACCCTCAGTCCCTAGGATGGAGCAAGGGGATAAGTCACATTCACCCTGTCCCCTCTGAGTCCTGTCCCAGGTCTTAGTCGTCCCCCCCCACAAAGGCCCAGGGTGACACTCCCCCCACTTTTGACACCTTTTAGTACGTGGATGGGGTTTCCCTGCTTCAGGTCCCAAATCCTGATGGTGCCATCTTCATAGCCGACCACAGCTCTCTTCCCTAGAGGGCCGGAGGCACAGACGGAGAGAGAAAGGCAGCACACTCAGACACACCCACCAAGGGAATCCGGCGGGGGGTGCACGAGAGGGACACAAGTGAGGGGAGAGACTCTGCCCCAGGGACAAGCAGAGGGGACCCAGTGCAGGGTGGAAAAAGGGGAGCTGTCTCTCTGGGGCCTGGGAGGTCAGTGCTCCTGAGAACAGGCCTGGAGTTTGCAGGCTGGGGTCCCAGAGGGAGCCTAGGAAGCACGAGACTCCACACCCACCCTCTCGGAACTCCAGGAAGGACCCTCAAGGGAGCGTCTCTCACCATCGGGGAGGACTCGGCCACACGTGGCTGGGCAGTTGGGACCCTGGAAGGTCTTGCAGTCACCATTTGGGACCTTCCACATCCAGGTGTTGCCATCAGCCGTGCCCGCCAGGAGGACAGGTGCCCGGGGGTGCCACTCCATCCACTGGACAGAGAGGAGGGGTCAGCAGGGTGGCCTGTCACCCCACCCCAGCTAGGAACCTGCCTAATGAACCCTACCCAGCTTCTCCTGCTTTGAGCCAGCGGGGACACTCCAGGTAACAGGCATAGACGTTCCGGCTGTACCTCAAGAGTGCACTGGCTCAGAGACAGCTCGGTCTGGGAGAGGCAAGGCTGAGCCCCAAGCTCTCGCCCACTCCCCAAGGCCCCCCAGAAGTGAATCCCACTCCCATGACCTCACCTCCAGATCGCCTGCTTCAAAGGACCAGACCTCCTCCTTGGTGTCCACCTGCCACACTTTCAGGAGGCCACTCATGTCCCCTGTGGCCACTAGGGTGGAGTCATGGCTGAAACCAGCACAAGTTACAGAGTCTTTATGACCTTCAAGAAAAATGCAGAAAGAGAACATCAGGGCACCAGGAAGTGGGACATATGACCCCGGTACCTGACCTCCTAAAGGACCAGCTGGGAGAAGAAGGGCAGATCCCAGCAGAACAGGCAACCGAACTCATCGTCTGTGCAGAAATGGACACACCCAGGTCCCCCAGGGGAGGCACTGCTGGCCCCCAACTCAACCACACCGCCCAGGCCTATGTCTTACCCTCAGTCCACTCCACACCTCTGCCCGGAACCCTGACATCTGTCCCTCCTCCCACATACTCCTGTTCAGCCTGTGTCTCCTCCGCTCAAGCCTTTCCCAGACTCCCTTGCCCAGTTACTGCCTCCCTGCCCTATGTCCATGTCGGACTATGCTGCTCTTCTTTGGAGTCCCCCGGCCCATAGAGCAGGCAAAATGGGGGCAGCAAATGACTGCTGGATGCACAACCGCTGCAGGTGAGCCCCCCAAGACCTTCAAAGGGACACGACCTCGCTTGGGCACCCTCACCTGCACACTCAAAGAGCAGCTCCCCGTCGCTGAGCCTCCACACGAAGGCTTTGTCATCTTCGCCCCCTGTCACCGCCAAGGTGTTGGTCTTGGGATCCAGGCTCACACAAAACACAGATGCTGTCCCAAGAGACGTTTCACAGGTAAGGGGACGGGGCCCCCACCTGGGGTTCTCTCCCCCGGGATCTGCAGGAAGCCCACCCCTTCCACCCAAAGCAACAGGTCTTTCCTCCTGGGAAAGAAGGATGCACCCGAACTCTTCTAGGTTCCAAGCATCAGAGCACTGGAGAAATCCCTCCCCGAGCTTGCCAAGCCCCAAGCACTTCTCCAGGGCAGATGCCCCTGCGGTACTGCAGCCTTCACCACCCCACGCTGATGCCAGGGCAACGAGGAGGGTGCGTGCGCAAGGCTTTCGGTTCTCGGCATGGGGTGCCACCAGGCTGGGCACAAACGGAGGGAGGAGAACATTGTGCTACTGGTTCCTTATTAAAAGCCAGTAATTGAAGATTATATAAAATATGCTAAAAAAGGTACTATGACATCTAATTTACACTAAGGTAACTTTAAAAAAATTTTTTATTGATTCCAGAGAGAGGTGAAGGGAGGAAGAAAGAGAGAGAAATATCAATGTGAGAGAGACATCCATCAGTTGCCCCTTGCATGGGCCCCAACTGGGACTGAACCCACAGCCCAGACATGTGCCCTGACCAGGAACCGAACTCTTCACCTTCCAGTCTGGGGGCTGATGCCCAACCAACTGAGCTACACCGACCAGGGCAAAGCAACTTAATAAAAACTTTCACCACAGGTGGCTTTTAAAAAGGAAATTAAGACCCAGAGAGATTTAAAGATTATAAATTGGTAAGTAGCAGAGGTAGGATTTGAACGCAAGTTCCTCAACGGACTCCGGGAGCCAAGCTCTCCTGGGTCCCTCCTACTGCCCCCTACCTGTGAGTTCCTCCAGGGCAAGGCCTGTATTTGCCCATCTCTGCATCCCTCGTAACGCCCGGTCCACAGCGGATGTGCGAGGCTCAAATGCCTGCCGGGCCGGAGAGTACGATGGATGATGCCCAGAGACCTACCTGAGTGCAGTGCAAAGGTGACCTCGCTATCGTCTGGGCCCTCCATGCTGCCGACCACCCCTTCCTGGGGTTCCAAAACCCAGCCCTCCTCGTTGCCCTCCTCCTCCTCCTCTTCTTCTTCTTCAAAGTCCACGTCTTCCATCTCCTGGGCTAGATCATCTGCTTTGGGGAGAGGAAAACGGGCCTCAGCAGCGATCGGAGGGATGGAGACCCAAGCGAGGGGAGGCCTAGGGCTGGGGTGGGTCATGTGGCAAGAGGGTGAGG